AATTCTATCATCTAGCCCTACATGTGGCGCATAAGGACTAATTACATTAATTATCGCCTACCCTAATACAGGTTTAATTAATACAAATCTATCACCTGCTCTCTTAACATCTACTACTTTATCCTTTAAATCTTTGGCTTACTATTATACCTACACCATTTCTATTGTTATCCTTTCCTATATACCAGAGTTAATATCCATCAATTTTCTTAGCTTTTCCCCTTTCCACTAAGTTTCATGTAGGCAAGCTACGTTAACTCTCCTTCATCTCCACTGACTCCATACTCTTATCTATTAGAGTTCCTATATTTCATGCGCCTTAACGAATCTCATTCTCTTAGACTAGCTTCTTTACCCGTGCTTATCCAAAATGGCACACGAATCCTTGCCCACTTATCATTGCCACCGGGCAACATTGCGGCGGGTCGCTTCCAAGGGATGCCCTAGCTAACCTTTGCTTACTTCTCACTGCACTCAGGTCGGGTGCCAATAAAACGCATTGCTTATAGGGAAACGACAACAATTTCTTCCCAACCTCGTTATTCAAGAGAAGTAATTCAAATGAATTGATTTTATGAAAATTGTTTGGCATACAAATTTTCCTATATCTCTTTCTATGTGACTATGGATCAAGAGATCTTCTTCAGGTAGATCAAAAAGCAATATTTCCTCAACATTTAAATAAAAGAGTAGGAAGACTCAATAATCCCCAGCCTCTACAAGCACCTAGATGCCTCAATATGGTAGGAATTACAAACACAATCTATATGTAGTAGGTCAAAGACAAACACTAGTAATTATTACATATGGATGAGGAGGATAAGGTCATCCTTAATTTTACAGTTGAACTCAAGATGTCACATGGGTTTGGTAGAGTATCACAGTGTGTCGCGCAAAATTAGGCTCTGTATTATTAACTTTGTTAAGGTCTTCCCAAGAGTGTGTTAGAAACATCAACTAAGAGCAAAAGTAAAGAGGGCAAAACTAACATTGAGCAGCTAACCTTTCCACTGGAGTCTTTGATAAGTAGTGTTTCAATACGCGGACCGCCCAGCGCCTAGGCAGTCCAAAAGGCCTACATCGCCCAAGCCCAGGTGGCCAAACTAGGCGACGGTCCCTGGGCGTCCGCCCAACGCCTGCACCCTGCACAAGGGTGGAAATGACTTTTTTTAAAGTTCTATTGGGTTTTTTTGGAAGAAAAAAAAATTTAATGGTGGGTTTTAGGTTCATTTGACCTAAACCCACAATAACCCATTTTAGAGAGAGAGAAACCTTAAAAAAAACTAGATTTTGTGCTTTTCATTGAATCGAAGTGTTTCTCAAAAAAAATGGAAATGGATACAAACATCACCCAAGTAGATTACATTTAGTTTTGAAGATTTTTTAATCCCATTAGAGAGTGTTTTTTAATATTTTAGCACCAAAAAACATCTCAAAGGTGAAAGTTTGGAGTTCGAGCAATCAAAGTATGTGCAAAACTTTATTTTTTAGATTGCTTGTTTTATTTTGAGCTGTCTTCTTCAGAATCTAGTCGAAGTGGGTATCCGGGTTGTAAATATGGATATAACCTGAATCCGAATGACAAAAATTGCATAAGATGCAATTATTGTAAAACAGATATAAAAGGGGGCATAAACCGATTTAAGAAACATCTTGCCGGTATTAAGGAAGATGTTGCCTCTTGTAAAAATGTTCATGAAGCTATCAAAAAGGAGAGTAAGCAATACATGAGTTCTTTAAAACAAAAACAAGAACAAAATTCTTGTCATTTGAATAGGTCTATTTCTGGTTCTGCTAGAAGTGATCCGGGTTGAAAGTATGGTCATAACCCGCAACCAAACAATAAAAATTGTATCAGGTGTAATTTTTGTGAAAAAGATACCAATGGGGGTATTAACCAATTCAAGAAACACATTGTCGGTATTAAAGGGCATGTTGCTTCTTGTAAAAAAGTTCCTAAAGTATTCGGGATGAGATTAGACACTTTTTGAATTTAGTAGAACCAGAAAAGGATGAAAATGAGCCTTGTTCTATGGAAATATCTTCTCCAAGTTCTTCTAGAAGTGGTGATCGAGTTGGAAGTATGGTTATAACCCAAATCAGAATAACAAAAATCGTATTAAATGAAATTATTGTGGAAAGGATACTAATGGGGGTATTTACCAATTCAAAAAACAACTTACGATATTAAGGGGGATGTTGCACCATATAAAAATGTTTATGATGCTACCAAGGAGGAGATCATACAATATTTGCGTTCAGGGAAGCACAAAAAGATAGAAAAGGGTAGAGCAACCAAGACTCCTAAGGCCCCATCTGCACATAGTAAGAGGGAGATAGAAGAAGAGAAGGAAGAGGCAGATTATGAAGAAACATAAGAGGACGAGCGTTATGTTGCAAAGGGAGATGACTCTGATGATGATGGCCTCAAATCTATTGCATATGATGAGACTTACCCTAGTCCTTCAGATGATGATGATGATGACTGAAGAATGAAGAGTTGAAGACGCTTGACTCTTGGTGTCGAGTGTTGACCATTGTGTCCTAATCTCCTAGACTGTATATTTTTTTAATTTCTGTATATTTTCTTTTTTTTCTAGTTTCTACTATCTAACTTTTATGTGTATCAGAATATCAATGTATGCTTGTATGGTTTTAGCATTGTAGGAAAATATGGATTATGGTCTTATGGACTATCAAAATTCTCTTCTCGACTTATCCTCATTCATGGAAATATCAAATATGGATTATGGATAGAATATCCAAATTCTAATATTTGTGGTTAGAATATCGAAATTCTCCTCATTTATGGTTAGAATATCAAAATTCTAACTTTTTCTTTCTACGGGGCCGCCCAAGTTCTGAGCACCCGCCAAGGCACTGGGCGGCCTAGACCCCCACAGCTGCCTAGGCCTAGCGCTTTTTGAAACACTGTTGATAAGTGGGATCGCACCCAATGGCCAAGACAATAATGTCAAAAGGGAAGGCAATGAAATAAAAGATAGAAAATGGTTCTCTTGGTAGCAAGTAAAGTGGTGCAAATGGTGTTGTGTATGTGCATCATCTCCATTTTCTCAAATGAAAAGTATGGAAAAGAGCGTTGTACATGCAGCACTACACAACCACATATAGTTTTATATCTTTAAGCATTAATGATCCTATTCTTGTTATTGGATAACTACAATAGAAACAGTGCTGCAAATGAGGAATCCCACATAAAGTGTGTCTGGCAACAAAGAATAGATAGTACATACATTTAGATAATACATACATTTCAGAAAGAAAATAAAAAATTAAAATTCCTAAAAGCAAGATATAAGGAAATCGCCCATCATGCATGCCAAGGATATAGATGCAATAAGAATAAACAGAACAGAAAATGCTGGAGATATTGTGTCAATTGTGATAATCACATAGAAATATAGAGAAAACAAACTCCAACGACCAAAATTCCCCAAAAAAAAAAAATCTAATGGTCAACTGTTGCAACTCAAATTATCATGTGACAAGCGCAATCTGATGCATAATGGAATATATGAATCTATGAAGTTCAGAGATGAAGTATACAAAGGTGTAGGAGCACTAGATGCACATTTCTAGTATCATAACAAACAAGGTAAATAAAATTGGTGAGGTCCTTTCCCCATCAGCATAGTTCAAAAAAATAAAAAGTAAAGTCAACACCAAAAATGGCGCATGCACAAGAATGATACATTTTGAAAGGCTACATTCCTCATAGAGTGAAGAAAGGCCACCAAAGGTCACTAAGACTCAAAGATGTGTCCCTTGATTAAACAACATTAATAAGAAACGTTAGCACTTCTTTTAAGCATTACAAGATGCAGATCTAGCTATACTTCTGCCACATGCGACAATTTATAAATAATCTCTTAAAGAGACAAGTCCATTCAATGGAAACAAAAATGCTTCCATATTGTACTAAGAAAAAATGCATACAATACACTTATTTGTTCAATATAGATTATTGCATGTCAAATGATTGTCATAATACATTCTTGAAACTTCCAACCCGTACTTAGAGTATTTGAATGGATTCACACCTAACCTTGCCAACAACCACAAACATTCTAAATCAGTAAATGGGCAGCTCATGAGGGCGCGATGATTCAAAATATAAAATCCCCAAGTCAAGCATGAAGATGCCGGTGACAAACATATAAATAGTGGCATTGCCAAATACCATTAAGCAAATTTCAGAAACCAAAGCAGGCTAGAGCATCTTGGATAAGCTATATTTGAACATGCACCAGGTAAACTACCCCTTTTGCAAATAGAATCCAGCCAGTGCAGAAAAGTACAAATAGGTTTCATATTCCCTACTGGAATTACCTCTTTGGATGACCCATTAGACACTATCGGAGAGGAGCAAACAATACCCAATAGTGAACTATTCAATCATAGGTAGAAGCAATGAAATTAACACTCAGAATTCAAAACACCACTACATTTCTCACTACCCACTCATAAACTACAGCTAACTAATTTCCAAATGAACAAAAACCCAACGGTGCACATTTGTTAGCTTTGAGCAATTTATAGTTGTGCATATGATGCCTGTGCCTCCATGAAAATCTGTACTGTAAAATCAATCTCTGCAACGACTAGAATTTGCCAGAAAAAATGCAAAGGCGATATAAAATCAAAACATGAAGATCCACCAACTGACAAAGTTCAATGATATTCCCTCTTAACTGATTATCGACCACTATGTTACAATATCACATTCAAATCTTCCAAAAGGTTAAACACCCCATCAATTTTTCTCCAGATCTAGATGCTAATTGACAGTGAAACTCAATTATAACTCAGCACATGCAACATTTGCCGAATTTTCCTGTACTCAAATCAAAATGCTGTACAACCCAAACTAGAAATGCACAAAACCAGCAAAACCCCAGATTACAAAGCACAGAATAATACAAAGACAACAGATATAAAATTACCAATCAAAGTTTCAAAGCGAAAAAAACAGAAATCACCTTTGAATTCATCAGCATGTCCATCACTGGAACCAGACTTGAGAGAAGAAAAAGGTGGCAGCCAAAAGAGGGCAGAGAGAAAGATGCAGGCCCCGAGAACCAGAGCGAGGATGCATCTAAGGCTGAAGAACCGAAGTATAGAAGAAGAGCATTGTTCACAAAACTGATTCCTCTCCTCTGAAGCCTCGATCGAAACCGGTAGGGGTTCTTCTTCCTTCCCCATATGACACGCTCCCTTCTCTCTATCTCTAACCAGAGGAATACCTTCCCTCTCTCACATGAAGCAGAGTTGATACCAACTGGTTGGTGAACCCTAGAGAGCGAAGGGCATAGAGGAAGAAGCTTTCTCTCTCCTCCATTGTTTAGTGGGTGTGGTTTCGGGATCCACAAAGAAGAGAGAGAAAGAATACGCTACTGGTGGAGGTACTCCAGCCCAAGGAGCACGTACATATATTAACGAAAATGAGCATCCTGACACCCCCTGCTTTTCCTTAAATGACTGGAATGTCCATTTCTAAGTGGTTTTTCCATGTCCATTTCTAAGTGGTTCCAACCTGTCTTATTTGTTGGAGGACACGGTTTTTTATGAGTTATTGGACTTGTATGTAGGAATGCGGCCCCCTTTAATAATATACTTTTGAAATAGATTTTGACCTTGATTTTTTAGGAATATTTAAACTTTGAAAAAAAATTAAAGATATTTTTGTGAAGTAAATTTTATACCTATTTTACTTTTTTTTTTTTTTGATAGGCAACATTGCCCGTTTGTTTGACTGTTGTTGAACACTATTTACGTCCATCTTTGGATGGATAGTCTATGCTCTGGCACACATAACACTTTTCCTTTGTTGAAATGATACATTTCTCTTGTGATCTTTTTTTGTATTTTATAAATATATATAATGAGATTATTTAGTTTTTATACGGGGAGATCTCAATTATCATTGACTGCTAGATTTGAAATCGGCTGGTTAAAATATATATTAGATTAGGCACAAAGTCCAAAGTAAAATTTCTTGAATATTGCGACGATCACTTTTTTTTTATTCGATTTGACAACCAATAGTTAAAAATAATTGTGACATTCTTGTAACAAAAATAAATGATGACATGGTATATATTCTTTTCTTTTCTTTTTTTCCTTGTTAAGAGTAGTCATTCAAAGCCTCTAGAGAAGTCCCATAATTTAGAGAGAAGCTTCGTAGACACAATTTACAAGTATGTTAGTTATGGTGAAAAGTGATTCTTTGAATGCAAGTATGCTAGTTATGGCAGAAGGTGATTCTTCCATAGCTGCCTTTGCGTGTTAAACTCACATTTCAGGAGAAGTCCTGCAGATGTGGATCAAATTGTTGAATCATAGAGTTGAAGAAGCGATTTTGGTTGTACCCAGATGATCATTGGAGACACGCATAGAGAAGGGTTGTACTTTATAAACAACATAATTTGCGTAACATCGGCAATGGAGTAATTACATGTTAATCAATTAAAAAAAAAAAAAAAGTTCCACAAATTCATGTGAGTTTCTAGGTGTGAAGCAATATTGGAGAGGCGTTATCACTATTTTGAAAAAGATATAATATCCTTTCCTTAACAAAAGGGCAAAAAATAGATTGAATTCCCCGTTTACCCGGTTTTTATTATGTAAAAAGACAACTAAAACGTGGGGTTCATTAAAGTAGGGTGTTTTGGTCATTTCTAAAATATGTTGGATTTCTTGTAAATGTTGCAAAGAAGGGCATTTTGGCTATTTTTTGCCCTACGAGCTCATTTAAAAAGATGGGAACATGCAAGCCTCTTTTCCTTTTTTTTATTTTTTATTTATTTTTAATGCACTTTAACAGGTGGTAGAACGTAGACGTTATACAGGATTTAATTGAGGCATCGTGTGGGCGATTAAGAAGGGCAAGTTTCCTTTAGGGTTTATTATAAATCGATCAAACCATGCATTTTACTTTATTTCTCCCCATTAACAAAAGTTTCAATTTTCAAACAAAAGAAAAAATTGGTGTGCGGCATCGTGATTAATAGCTTCCATTCCATTAGTAAAGGGATGACTACAGAGTCCCAAGTGTTTCAAAATAGCGATCTTTATATTCTAAAATAATAAGAAAATAAAATTAGGAAAAATAATAATAATAAGGAAACAATAAAAAGTTCTTTTAGCCTTTAAAAAACAATACAATTCAATTGAATATGACTAGAAATAGATCCATTTGTATCAAAATTCTTTTTCACTTGTATGAAACTCATGTTATATGAAGCTTCTGGCTTTGCAAGCAATAGTTCATGGCTTGGCTATTATGTGTCATAATTTTACGGTAGGAATTGCGCCATTAGAGTAAGGGAGCCATTTTAAGCATTTTTCAATATATGAGGCCACCTGTAGGGGCATCTTACAGGGGGGGAGATTTGAGGAAGCCATGTGTCACCATGTGGAAAAGAGCTTATGCTTCAAAACACATTGATGGGTTCTTCCTTTTCATGATTGATGTACAATGATGCCCTTCTTTCTCTTTTCTCTAACACTTGAAAGTGCATCTAAATGATCCATCCATTACTGTTTCTCACTAGTGTGTAGCGCATAAATAAAGGTTGTGAATCCTCTAGTATTATACTGGTTTTCATCTTAGATGTAAATTCATATACCATATTTCCCAATAGGAAATAATTCTTCTGAAAATATGGCCAATCATAATGGATTGGTGACAACTCACAATCACAAATACATGAAAACATTATATAGAGTCAAAACATTCTAGGCTCTGGCAAGATCATACTATTTGTTTACTCCCTTGTGTAAGATCCTATTCAATAATATTTTTAAGACCCTAAATTTTGGTGTGTAACCCCTTTTAACTCTAAATGTGCGTAAAGAAAATAATGTTCCAAGATTGAACAAATATCGTCTAATTTTTGGAGGGTGAGAACTAACCGTTGAAACTATCAAAATCCTTTAAATTTCTCATATGATTATTTTTAAATGGATCCCAAAATTTCAGTTATAAAAAATTGATCATGACCTTATGCACACTCTTCCGCCACCATTTAGGATTTCTTCTTGGGACTATGAAGGAAAGAAGAAATATCATTTGGTTAGCCTGAACAAAGCTTGAGGTATGAAGAAAGAAGGGGGCTTGGGTATTAGGGGGCTAGAAAAGATGAGTGAGGCTTTGCTTTCTAAATAGAGTCGAGGTATTTATTATGTGGCAATCATTTGTGGAGGCAGGTACTATCCGTAAAGTACAAGGTAAAATCCAATTTCGAAATTATTAGAAAGTAGAGAAGAACATCTAATGGTTCCTCTTTTTAGAGAGGTCTTTGGGGTGAAAAAAATAGTGCCTAAAAATGTGCAGTCGATAATTGGGAAATCAGATAAAATATTATTTTGGCATTATAAATGGATTGGTGAGACATCTTTGAGGCTTTCTTATCCAAACCTTTTTTCTATCGTATTGACTCCTGCAGCAAAAGTTCAAGAACTCTGTAATTCTCATGTCTCTTTGTTTCTTGGAGCATAACTATCACTTAAAATAGAGTTGCTGATACTATTTTTTAGGAGTTCACTAGACTGCTATCAAAATTGGATAATGTTCAATCACATGGCCATTTTTTTTGGGTGGGTAAATCATGTAGCCACTACTGAAGACGGAATAGCAAAAGCAAGACGAAGGAAAGAGCTCCAGGATTTTTAATGGTATTTTCGATGATTTTTCAATACGGAGGGAGAGAGAGAGAGGGCATTTTGATTTTGTGTTGCTAGGGATTTAGATAAAAGCACGAGTAGCATGCTCTATGGGAGCACATTGTACGTCTACTCCTTCGGGCTGAAGACCTAGTCAAGATGATTTTTAGATTTTTGAAATTTTATAATCCCCTTTAGATCCATTGTATAAGCATTTTTTAAAAGGGATTTTATTCCAAAACACTTAAATCTGAATGTCCAAAAATTGGAGATTCTATTCAATTTTAGAACATTACAATTTTTGGCAAATATATGGGGAGTATAATTTTAAAATTTTTCTTTTTTTGAGATTGGCCGTCCATAAAATTAGGATCTGAAAAATACTCATAAGTAGGGTAAAACCCTAGAGAGTGAATCTTATTTGCTCTTGCAGGAACATAAAATATGTTTGCATTAGATTGTGCATGACACACATTTTGTATTAAGCAACATACATGAGGGAAACCCCCAACCATCGGGTGAAAATTTTGTTATGGAATCGCCCAATTTGACAGCCATCATTGCCATAAATCTTCTTGTACATAGGTTGTTGATGATAGATGGTCGATTTCCCTTGTTTATGGTATTCTTTACACACATTATATATAGTCCACTAACTTCATTTCAAGTATTTGTGGATGATTGAGCATAAGAAAAATACATAGTAAGACCATTTACTATTAGTTCAATAAATTCACAATTATCATTAGCCTTTTAGATGCGAGCAATAGGGGTGTGGCACTAATCAAACTAAAAATCTAAGAAAAGTCTTCCTGATTTTTATGAGATACTCCAAGCTACTTTACTTGAAAATAGATAAGTAAGAATGATTGAGACCATCAACTATCATATACCAAGGATAAATAATCTCACAATATACATAGTAGTTTCATCAGATTTATATCATTTGAAAAAAAAAATCACAGGATTTATGTGGAGCTTTAGAGAAAATCATGTCTTGGAAAGCTATGGGTAATCCTAGAGAAAATGTGATTCAGGAGAGAACCAATGAGGGCCAAAAGGGATTTGATTAAACCGGCAAATTCCCACTTTTTTTCTCTCACCTTCTCTTTCACTTGTTGAGAGTGAGAAGGGGCGAGAGAGAGGGAGCTGGCATTTCCCTCCCTTCCCCATTGCCGAGTTTATAGCTTGCCCTACCCTGACAGCTTCCCATGGATCCCTAAGTGAAAATGTTAAGGCTATGCTATGAAACTCAGGGATATGTTCACCATAATGATTTTTGAATAGCTTACGGGGGTAAGCTATTTACTCAACATGGAGAAAAGGTTTTTGTACATGGAAGAGATGAGGAATTGACTAACTGTAGGGGAAAGAAGAACAATTAACTATCATGGAAATGGTGGAGTCCATGAAAATGGGACCATTGATGGAGGGCATGGAAATGGAAATGGTGGTGGAGCAAATGGTGGAGGAGGAAATGACATAAATCTCCTAGCTGTGGATGTGGTTGATGGTCAGAATGTAGGTGCACACAACGTGGTTGATCAAATGTGAGCACTCAGTACGATGGTTTGCCCGCTCACAACCAATATTCATAAAAAAACGTCAGGCATCGCTTAGGTGATCATGGGGGTCCTGGCCACCCAACACCTAGATGACTGCCTAGGCTGGCACTCAAATTTTTGAGCGGCCTAGGTTGAAAAGCAAAGGTAGTGGAATATGAGTGAGACATTA